TAGAAATAAGACCCTAATAATGTCTCCACTAATAGCTCATGGTCCTTGCAGTTTGGAAATTCTTTCTTCTGTCTACTTTAAATCCTTCCTTCTGTAAATTAAGAAGCCTGGTTGTGCAGTGGTTAAGTGCTTGCCTGCTAACCAGAAGAATGGCAGTTAGAACCCACAAGCCACTCCATAGGAGAAAGATGTGATAGTCTGCTTCCATAAAGATTATAGCCTTGGAAACCCTATGTGGCAGTTCTACTCTGTCCTGTAGGGTCATTAAGAGTCAGGATTGACTCCACAGCAATGGGTTTGGCTTTTTGGTTTTCTGTAAATTAAGGCCAGGATCTCAATCCTTTATTTAGTGGAAATAGTGAGTTGCTGATAACTGTCTCTCATAAAACAGCACATCTTCTTTAAGATTATTATTAATCACTCTCTAACCCAATAGGAAAACCCTGGATTGTTCTTAAAATCATTACTTCCTCTTCACCAAAAACACAATAAATTATTATTATTTTTAAAATTACTGCTTCCTTTTATGCCCTTTTTCAGAATGGCTACTTTTTCAGAATGGCTATATTTTCAGCAATTAAGTCTCTCCAATTTGTCTCAGTTATCAAAAGGCAGGCTCTTTAAGAAAAGTCTCATTATCAATTTGTTAAATCCCTTGACTATACTTAAAAAATACTCAATGAGAGATTAAAGTAAACTATCTCTACAGGCTCCAAATTGAGAAGTACATAGAAGCCATCCTGGCAGGCACCGGAACTCTGTGATTCAACTGTAAATCTCCAAATGGCAGATTAATTCTCTGATCTGATGCCTCACCCAGACCAGTCTTCTTTGGGATGTCACATGTCATTATGTCAATGTTACACAAACACACTGCAAAATAAAAGCTCATCCTGTAGACAGGATGGGCTCTCCTTCTCTATGGCACTTCCCACATCAACATAATACATGAAGCTTAATAGAATTTCCTATGAAAAGCATATTGTCTCAGTGCATTATCACTTTGAGACATGGTCTTGTGACCCAGAACAATGAGGAAACTGACTAGGAAAACACCCACATTTCATGGTGCTAATATGCCAGCACCAAGGACTTATCACAGGACAAAAGCAAACCCACCCACAGGTCCACCTGTCTTCTTAAGGGAGGACTTCAAGGGATTTCCTGTGATTACAGCAGATTGCAAAAAGCATATCTGGTCATTTCCTCTGAACTGAAGCCCTCTTGCAATGATAGGCCACAGCTCAGCAGCAGCAGGTTGGGTAATTGTATGATGCAGTCATATTCTGTTGACTTTGCAAAGGGGCAATGGTAGTTCTGTGGTATAATTCTCACCTTCCATATAGGAGGCCAGAATTGATTCCTGGCCAATGCACCTCATATATAGGTACCACTCTGTCACTGGAGACTTGCATACTGCCATAATGCTGAACATGTTTCAACAAAGCTTCCAGACTAAAATGGACTAGGAAGAAAGGCTTGGCATTCTACTTCTGAAAATCTGCTAATGAAAACCCAGTGGATCACAACAGTTCAATGGCATGAGGGACCCTATGAGTCAAGGGTCAATTCAATGGAAGCTAATAACAACATAAAGTTGTGACAATGTGGCACAAAGCCTTAGGGTGTATATGCTTCTGATGGAGAAATGGGAGTACTCCATCCTCACATAATATCATCTTCACGGTTTTGGTGCATGTGGGTGGTACTACCCTCATCCACATGTAGCACCATGTTGCTTCAAGCTAGTCTAAGCCAATTTAGCCATTCAAAACTGCAGGGTATTCTGGGAAAGACTAGGAAGCTCTAATAATTAGAGGTAAATGGAAACTATGTCTCCTTCCCAGTTGGTATGTTACAAAGAAGGCAAGTCTCAGACTGAATTCTGCAATATTTACACATTCTTAGCAAGCCTGCCAGACCATCGTAGAGCCTGTTCCTGCAAGAACAAGTCCATGCTCTCCATTAGTTCATATGCTGTGGTAGTTCAGTTTGTGTCAACTTGGCTGGACCTGGTTGAGTTGTTGGGCAGCTGGTGGTAGTTATTTCCCATGATGAGACTGGCAATCAACTCCATGGTGGGATCTACCACAAGCAGTTGAGTAGTTGCTTTAGGTATGTGGTCTGCTTCCCATCTATAAGAAGAAACTTTGGGAATGGTCTCTAGCTTATGGCACGCTTGGACCCTGCATGTAGCCATGTCGTTCAGCAGCCTGCCATGCTCTGCCAACCTTGGGACTTACAATGGACTTAAATTAATGGCCTGCCGTGTGGTTTGGTAACATCAGGACTGTGCCTTTTTATTTGTCAACCTTGGGTTTGTCAGCCTCAGCAGTTAGCAGTTGTCTGAGTAGAGACACCTCTAGCTCCAGTGGGCTGGGAGCAGGAGGGAGAGCTGGACCCCAAGATTGAGGGGCTTTCACCCAACCCCTAGAGCCTGGCATTTTGGACTTGGATTTAAAGCCTCCAAACTGTGAGAGAATAAACTCTTGTTTGTTAAGGCCATCCCATTTGTGATATATTCTTGTCAGAGCAGCACTAGGTAACCAGAACAGATGCTTTCAAAGGTTCACTTTGAAGCAAATAGAGCAATTCCCTGACAGCAGGACTTGCTAACCACCTTCAAGTTAAATCAGTAAAGCAAATCCTCCAATAATTGAAAGGGTTTGATTGTAAACCTGAGTCTGTTCCAGAGCTATGAGGCCCATCAGATTCTTATACTTCATTTATGCAAAGGCAGAGGTGGCTACTTATCTTTCTAACCAGTTTCCATTGAATTGATTCTGACTCATGGTGACCTCATGTGTGTCAGAGTAGAACTGTGCACTACAGGGTTTTCAATGGATGCTTTTCTGGAAGTAGATCACCAGGTCTTTCTTCTAAGGTGCTTCTGGGTAGGCTTGAACCTCTAACCTTTCAATTAGCAGCTGAGAGCATTGACCATTTGTACTAGCCAGGGACTCCCTTATCTTTCTAACCAACCATGTATCCGTATACCACTTATTCTCTAGAGGAACTTCTTTCTTTCTTTTTTTTTTTTTTTCTCTTTTAAACAGACATTTTATTGTGCTTTAGGTGAAAGTTTACACAGCAAATTCACTTTCCAATCCATAGTTCATATTTAGATTGTTCCATGACACTGGATGTAAACCCATCAGCACTCTCCGTATTTCCTCCCTGGGCTCCTCGTCTCCACACCTTCAGTTTTCCTGTCTTCTCATTTTTGGTTTTGGGCAAATGGGCCCTTTGGTCACTTAACTGTTTGTATTAAGGAGCACATTCTTCATGGGTTATATTGTTTTATAATCTCGTCTATTATTTGGTTGAAAGGTGGCCTCTGGAAGTGTCTTCAGTTTCAAGTTACAAGGCTGTCTCAGGGCAACAGTCTCTAAGGGTTCCTCTAGTCTCTTTCAGAGCAGTTAAGTCTGTTCTTTTAAAATTTTCTTTGAATTTGAGTTTTGTTCTACATTTTTTTACCTGCTCTAACTGGGACCTACTGTGGTCTTAAGAGTGGCTGGAGTGGTAGCTGGGCATCATCTAGTTCTTCTAGGCTGTGTGTCATGTGGGTCATTAGTCCTTTCTTTCTTTTTTTTTTTTTTTTTTTATTGTGATTTGGGTGAAGATTTACAGAGCAAATTCACTTTCTATACAGAAGATCACATGTCATTGATGACAGTTTACCACAATGCAACAGCTCCCCTCCCGCTTCCTCCCTATAGTTACCTGTTCCGAGTGACCATCCCTCCATACTCTCCTGCACCCTGAGCTGTCTCCCTGTCCATAAGCAGCCCTTCCTTCTCCCGTGATTGTTCTCTCCAGGGCATGTGTCTACTTGAGGTAAATGTTTAACTCACATGTCTGTACATTGTTTGGCTGGAAACCACAGGTGTGGGTTCAATTCCAGACCTGAAGGGCAGCTAGGGGCCATAGTCTCAGTGGTTCAACCAGGCTCTATTGGACCAGCAAACCTGGTCCCCACCTTCTTTTTTTTTTCAGAGGAACTTATTACTAACATTTCCTATGTATAAGTAATTTCTGGGCAGATTTAGGCGGTACAAGTTGAAACATTGGAAGTTCTTGCAGTAGTTGCCTATAGCATATGAATTCTTCCCCTGTGGAAGTGGATTAAAATTAAATTATATTTGCAAACATGTAAACATCAAAGTGTCTACACAAAAGTATATGAAATTATAGATGATAATATAAGTGTGTTTCCTTGGAAGGAAGGTTGGGCAATCTACTTATGTAAAGATACTGCCTCAGAAACACAAGGAGGGGTTGCTATGAGTTGGAGATGAGTCAACAGCACATAACAACAACACAACAATATAAGTGTGATGAGAAGGTTGAGGAGCTCCAGTGGCGTAGTATCTAAGGCATTTGACTGCTAACCAGAAGGCTGGTGGTTCAAACCCACCAGACACTCCTCAGAAGGAAGACTAGCCAATCTACTTGCGTAGAGATACTGCTTTGGAAACCCAAGGAGAGGTCGCTATGAGTCAGAACCAAATGAGAAGGCTGAGTGATACAGATGTTTGATCAGAGACTTGACTACAAATCCTGCTTTGTTCTTTGATCACCTTAATGAGCATCAATTTTGTCATCAATGAAAACATGAATGAAAGAATTTCTCTCTTTAGAGTTGGAGAATTAACTGAGATGATGTTTCAAAGCATCTAACTCAAACAGTACCTGGGTAAATTATAGCTATATTGTTAGTGTTCTTATAAGTAGCACAGGCTTTAGCTTCTGTTCAAATCTGTGCCCTCAAAAGGGTGGAGCATGGGCTTGCAAATTCTTCTCTGCTGCTTCCATAGGGCCTGTGTGGTCAGACAACAAGACCAGTACCCTAACACCATCAAGGAAGCACCAAATATGTCCATCAGGATTCATCCCCCTGGGCTTCCCAGCTCCCAGGGACACCTGCCTCACAAGCTCTCAGACTTATGGAGCCCAATCCCCCTGACTCCCATAGGTCAGACCCCCACAGAGCGCCATACCATGGCAGGTCCGCCCATCTCCTCGAAAGCCGATGGAGCACTCGCAGGAAAACTGCATCATGGGGCCAGGTCGGCACACTGCATTGGTGTCACACCCATGAGTGCTGACATAGCAGGGATTCTGAAGGGCATCAGGGGAGCCATCTGCAAAGGCAGAGACATTTAAACTTGATGAGTATTCAGGAACACTTGAAGGTTTCCTCTTTCTACAGAAAGTCAGTCACAACCAGTGACCAAGAACATGATCACCTATGAGCAGCACAAGGTCCTGAAACAGGGAACCAGTTGACTTCCCACATAACCTCCCTAGGGCAGGGGTCCAGGAGCTTCACCTCTCCAGCACACTGCCTGTTTTTGTAAATAAAATTCTATTGGAAACCAGTCACACCCATTTGCTTACACATGGTGTATGGCTCCTTAGGGGCTACAATAGAATGTTGTAGCAGAGACCATAAGGCTGCCAAACCTAAAATGGTTGTTATCTGGTCCTTTAAGAAAAAAATATGCCTAATTCTGAAGCCTAGAGCTCAGCTTTATAATGAGAAAGATATCTGCCTGCTTTTTGCTTTCTGGAGCTAAATTAAGGACAAACTTGGGTAAAAAGATAGATCCAAAAACTGAAAAAACAAAAAGACGTTAATACCTGGATCCCAAATATATATGCAGCCTAGCCTTAAGGGTGTGGATGACATGAAATATGACACTGAGCTGTGTAGCTCTCTAACACCACCTCCTGCCATTCAGTCAGAAGGCGCCTCCTCCAGACCACACACCCTTGATGTGCAATAAAGGCAGTGTGCTTTAGGCTTCAAGCCAATCAGGCATGTCTCTATTTCCTCAGGTACTGAGCACAGGGTCCTTTCAAGGCTAAGTGTTAGTGTGTTTTCAAAGCCCTGCCAAAGCTGGAGCCCTTGGATGGTGTGCTCTGTAAGGTAACTCAATAGGTTGGCATTCTTCAGGACAGTGGAAAGGCCTTCACTTACAAAGACAGAGACACTTAGGTTCTTCTAAGACTCAAAAACAAGATTATTTCTCTAACAGGAGATACCTAAGTATGTGTTCCTTCTTCTATAGACTGAGAGTAAGGGACTAAAAACAATACATACAGCAGAGATTTTAAACATGTGGGCACAGAGACACATATACACACATCGTGCTTGATGTAACTTGCCACCTTACTTACCCCTCACTGGACCAATGGAGTTGCTCAGTGCATATCGCAAGATCTTCTCGTCATGATTGTACAGGACAAACACGCTGTCCACTGAGAGTTGCTGGGTGCTAGGCAAAGCAGGCCGGGCCTCATCATGGGGGCACTGCTGGAAGGTGATGGTCTGTCGCCACTTATAGGTGTGGATGTGCGAGGGGGCAGCCCCATCCCGTTCAGGCTCAGTCACAGTGTACTCCCGAGTAGAGGAGGATGTGATCACTGGGGGTAAAGGCAGGGGACAAGGCAAGAAAACAGAGAAATCTTTAAGGACATGTGATACATAATATAGAACTTTAAGATAAACAGCTGTCCTCCCTGCTGATGATGCTACCAGATGGAAGGGCAGGTTTATCAGGCTAAATTAGAAGATTCAGTTCTAGGTAGCAATGCTTTCTGTTCCTGAGATTTCCCATGGTTACTGGTACTACTCGCATTACTAAATTTGCTGCTTTTTCTTATTCAATTATTCTGGAAAAGTTCCTAATACTCCCAGGACTAACCAAGGGGCTATGGTCTGATAGAAAGAGCACAGACTTGGGAGGAGATAAATCTGAGTTCACAGATCCCTGCCACAGTTGTGACCATGGGCTAGTAACTTCTTAAGCTTCAGTTCCTTTTAAAAAGTGGGTTTGGGCAGATGAAACTGTACGCAAAATTTCTAGAACTGACTAAGCTAGTAACAAACATAGCATTGTTCATGAAAATAGTACAGAATCAGGCAATGTTTGGTTCTATTATACATAGGTCACTATGAGTTGGAGCTGATCCAACAGCAGCTAACAACCACAACCACCACAACAATATTACTACTAATACAAACTACCATCTACTGAGCATTTACTATGTGACTAGCAGCTGCTGCTTTATATAGGTCATCTAATCTAGGATTCAATAAACAATGGTTGATGTACACAATCCTAGATTAAGCAGTCTAAGATGTAAAAAATGAGAAATTAAGTGGGCATTTTTCAGCCAACTTCTGAAAAATTACTGAAGTACTATGACCAAACCTCAACATAGAAGAGACAGTCTTCCCCAATTAGAAGTCTGCTATTCACTTTTTCAATAAAACCCACAACCTCCTATTAAAATATATATATATATAAGATTCTTTATATTTCTGTGCTCTGTGGCAGTTCTCTCCATATTACAAAATCTAGAAAGTAAATGAAAGAATAGTTTGAGCTGCTGTCTCTTTCCAGCTCCATGCGTGGGGCTGCCAGAAACACCATTTGGTTGCAGGCAGACTGCAGGTTTGGGTCCTGTTTGCTTCCCACTCCTTTCCCCCCCATGCTCATTCCCTCAAAGGAGAAGCCTAACCAAGCTATAAAGCCTTGGATAATTGGTACTACCTTTCTGGACTGCAGTTTAACAAGAGCCTTTAAAAATTCATATTGTTTGACCCATCACTTCTATTTCTAGGAACTGAGTCTTAGAAAGGAATCATGAATTTGGCCATGATTTATGATGAAGACGTTTACTTCAACATATTATGAGGGGGGAAAATAGGAAATAATCTAAGCTTTACAAAATAGGAGAATGGTTTAAATTAATAGCCATACAGTAAAATACTACAGATTCATTAAAAAGTATTTTCAAAGTCTGCTTAATGAAACTATAAAACATTCATGATTTCATATTAATTGAAAAAGAGAAAAATGTGGTATGACTACAATTTTATTTAAATAAAAACTATACACTTGCCTCTAGATTATATAACATTACATAAATGTTAAATTTTGATTTTGATAAATGTACTGTGGCCATGTAAGAAAATATTCTGGATCTCAGGAAAAACACATGAAGTATTTAGGATGAAGGATCATGATGTTTACAACTTACTCTCAAATGATTAAAAAAAATACATATATACATAATTTTTTATATGTGTGTGTGTATAAATGTATGTATAGTGGCACAAATGGTTAATGTACTTGGCTGCTAACTGAAGGTTGGCAGTTCAAATCCACCAAGAGTTGACTTGGAAGACACACCTGAAGACCACTGTCTGAAAAATCAGTCATTAAAAACCCCTATGAGCACAGTTCTAATCTGACACACATGAGGTTACCACGACTCAGAATCAACTCCAGGGCAATTGGTTGGTTGGCACGTAGATATACATATATAGAGAGAGAGAATGATAAAGTAAATGTGGCAAAATGTTAGCAGGTAGAAGTGGGTAAACTATTTGTGGAAATCTTTGTATTATTTTCAACTTTTGTGTAAGTTTGAAATTGTTTCAAAATAAAAAGATTAAAAACTACATATAAATGTATATTATAATTGAACTATTATTTTAAAAATATATATGTTGGGGGAAAGGCTGGGAGGAAATATACTTAAATTGAATAATGATTATCTCTAGGTTTTACAAATATGTTAAGTTTATTTTCTTTTTTGAACTAAACCATCTGCCACACATGTGTACTATTTCTCATTTCACACCCAAGAAGAATGAAGCCTGGCTGGCATCCTCGGTGGAGCAGTGGATGCCCTCACCAGAGGGGGAGTAGTGGTAGAGCTCCGTATAGGGCTCTATATGAACAGAGGAGCCGAACACAATCTGTGGCACATGGCCCTCCAGCTCCGTGTCAATGGTCAGGTGCCCATGCTCATCGATGCCACTGAACTGTTGCTTGACGACCAGCTTGCCTGGATGCCCCACAAAGGTTACCTCAGTCTGCCGGGTGAACTCGCCACCTGTAAAACAAGATCTGTTTTATGAGTGTGCATCAGCTCATTCCCAGGTCAACATCCACGGAAGTCCACTGAACTCTTCCTGCCCACCCGGGGCTGACCCTATGGTCACTTAGGAGGAAATAGATAGTGGTGATGGTTGCACAACATTGTGAATGTAATTAATGCCATTGAAAATTTAAAGTGTAAAATTCAGTGGTTGTACACTTAAAAAATGGTTAAAATGATAAATTTTGTGTTGCATATTTTACCACAATAATAAAGAAAAATACAATGCCAGGCCATCTCAGTTGATGTGTATTGAGGAAAAAGTTATGTGATCATTTACCTCAACCTCTTATTTCAAGGGAAAAAATACAGGATTCTCTATCTATAGACATAAAGGAGCCACAACATGCTTAACATTAAGTGGTCTGCCTACATGGGGCTCCATTTCCATTCACCCCCAGATCCTCTGGGTAGCCCACTGATCTTCATGTAGGATATGAATTACCAGTGATGCTGAACCCATTCTTGAATTCATCCTGCTCCACAGCAAACATCCATCCGATGATGCCTCCCACGGGGGCCAGGGGAAGCAAGGAATACCCCAGAGTGTCAGGAATGGTGCTGATAGCCGTGTAGGAACGTCCATGGTTCATCACAACGTAAGAGTGGAGGTCAGTATTCTCAAAGACAACTGGTGCCTGGCTGTGCCCCACAAAGATCCTTCCCTTCACTTTGCCATTAACTCGCTGAGGGGAACCTGAGTGAGAAACAAATAAAGGTGGAAGATACTGCTATCAAGTCAGCCTTTCAAAAAAAAATTAGTATGTCTGTTATGACTTGAATCTATTCATCTATTCATGAAGAGGCACAACAACACTGGCATAAGTGGCTCTGAAATAAATGAAAGTAGTTTTACTTCCCAAGAGCAAACTTGGGCCTTCAAAATCCCAATGACCTTGCCTCTCTTCTATGCTGACTTATACTAGCACTGTGAGCTGCTATGTGAGCAAGGAATTTCAGGGGCAAATAAAACAACTTCAGAAGGACAATATCATGGATTATCCAGAAACAGGGTGACTATATAATTTATCACTTTGGTAAGTAAAAGGGGTAAAATTAGTGATTTCACTGGGACAACAGGGCTAAACAGGGGTGTACCTAGGGAGTGAGGGACATTTGGTGGTCCGTTCTGTAACATACCACCTTATTAAGCATCTCTAACTCAAAAATAATCCAAGATTAGGATAGGCAGTCTGAGTACTGGAGCTTCATCCAGCCCAATCGAGGGCATTGGTAAACATCGTAGGCCATGCAAACATGTCCTCTGAACCTGAACTTGCTTGGTGGAATACTTGTGTTTGTTGTTGACTGTTTCCTTTAGACAATTGGGGAAATGTCAGTGGGGCCTACTATGGCAAATTTAGTGGCTTTCTTAACAAGTTGTCAAACAGTGGCAACATTTTTGTTTAAAAAATATATATTAATAATAAATGTTAGCACATACATGGGAAAAATGTGAAGAGATGTACACAAAACTGTTTAACAGAGTTAATTTAGGGCAACACAATCAATTTCATTTTCTATACTATATATTTGTATAATGTTTGAATGTTTGTAACTTGAACATATTATTGTTTAATCAGAAAAAAAAAAAGATCTAAAGAAATTAATTTGCTCTTGTTGCATTCAAAATAGAGAATGAAGGTTACCATGTGACCCATCATTCCTAGCTCCTAGCATATAATTGAAAATATATGTCCATGTAAAAACTTGTACATGAATACATGAATAGCAGCATTATTCATAACATCCAGAAAGAGAAACGATCCAAATATCTATCAACTGATAAATGGGTAAAAAAAAAATGTAGTATAATGGAATATTGCTTGGCTAGGAAGAGGAATGGAGTTATGAAGCAAGATGGATGATCCTTGAAAACATTATTCTGAGTGAAAGAAGGCAGATGCAAAAGGACAAATATTGTATGATGCCCTTATATGAAATGTCCAGAATAGGCAAATCTATAGAGACATAAAGTGGCTTAGTGGTTGCCAAGGGCTGGGGAATTTGAGGGAATCAAGAATGACTATTAATGGGTTCCTTTATAGGGTGAAGAAAATGTTCTAAGATTAGATAATGTGTATAGCTACACCACTTTGTGAACACCCTGAAAACCACTGTATTTTATACTTTAGAAGCATATGAAAATTATCTAAAAAGAAACTGAGGGATAGAATAAGAGGTACAACAAAGGTTACCTTGGGCTATTAAGGTCTGAGGTAGAGTTAAATTCTGTCAGTTACTGATGGTACTTATCTTCTTTCTCTTCCTAATTATAACTTACTAGAGATAAGAATTTCATTCCCAATTCCCTCCCTGGTCATGAAAGCATTTTGCACATTGTCAGTTCTCAGTAATGCTTGTTGAGTAAACTCTAGACAGATAGGTTCACACCCAGGCATGGTCACAGATAGTCTGATGACATTTTGCTCTATTCAAAGTATCCAAGCTGCCAACCAGGGCCACTGACAAGCCACAGTATACCTGGCACAGAGTAATCCTGCACACAAGTACATAGATTTTGTCACTCTACTGGGTAGTGCTGAAAAGTTAACAGACTAACAAAAAAAAAAAAAAGAAAGAAAGAAAGAAAAGAAAACTAACCCCAGGAATAATTACAGAAATATGCAATAAAGCCAAGTTCAGGAAACCAAACAAATTTCTTTCCACCCATCTTTGAATAAGAAACATCTTTAAAAAGTAGTAAGAATCCAACAAATATTTAATCACAAAACTATTATGTGGTAAGTATGTCAAAATATGAGCAGAACAGCTTGTTATATCTAAGCTTGCTGCCCAAAACAAACATCACAAGCTCTGATATTTGGCCTGCAAAGAGCTAATGAGGTTGCTCTCTAAGAAAACTTTTTCACTGTGCATTTTGGAAGCTTCTCCCAGGATGGGAGAGGCATCAAAGGCAAGCCTGAAACAAAGGAGCAGAGGCATACCATCCCTGGGTGGTGAGTTTGAGAAGAAAACAGAAAATACATTTAAAGAAGGTAAAAACATATTAAATATAAAAAATAAATATTAAATTTAATAAAATGTTATTAAATTTAATAAAATATTAAATTTCTTCTCTAATAAAAAAACTAACTGTCATCAAGTCAATGCCAACTCATAGCAACCCTATAGGACAGAGTAGAACCACCTCACAGGGCTTCCAAAAGCAGACTGTATCATTTTTCTCTGACAGAGCTGTTGGTACATTCAAACCATTGACCTTTTGGTTAGCAGCCAAATGTTTTAACCACTATGCCACCAGACCTTATCTAAATATGACCCAGAAAAAAACTTTTTTTTTAAAAGCAAATTAAAATTATAACTGATTTAACTATAGCTATGGCAGATGATCTGAAAAATTGAAGATATTCTTCTAGTCCCATTTTATTCTGTTAAATATTCAAAGAAACTGAAGTTTTCCTTTAAATACACAATAAAAATTACCTGTGACACATGGTGTCAGAGGGGACAAATGATTACTATGGTGGGGTTGATTTTTTTTTTTTTTGGCTTGGTTTTAATTCTGATATATAACTCCAGGTTCTCATAGGTCAGAGTCTGTGGGTGGTGTAAACAGTTAAGCACTCAATTACTATTCAAAAGATTGGTGTTCAGCTACCCTCCCCCCATCTAGAAGTGTGTCGGAAGAAAAGCCTGGCAATCTATTGAAAAATTAGTCATTAAAAACCCTGTGGAGCATTGTTCTACTTTGAAACACTTGGGGTTGTCATGAATTGATATCAACTCAAGGTCATCTAGTTTGGTATTTTGGAGGGTTTTTGCCTCATAGCTCTAACTCTCTGAGTAAAATGATATTCCGTAACCTTATACCAACAGGTTTCTTCTGATCATCATTTTAGACTTAGCTCCAGAATTGGTTCTATGCTCTAGAATTAATTGTGTTGCAGGCCTTATGCTTCACCACAATATGATTTCAGAGGCATGGGTGGGGAAGATCATTGGAATAAACTTTCCCCACTATAACTCTGGTCTAAGTTAGCTCTCTGTGGTTTCACAGCCATTAAGACAGATCCATGAACAATACTTAATATAATTTGGGACACTCTTAGAACAGAGGCATAAAAGAGGTTTGAAAGAAACTGAGCAAAATGAGAAACATAAACAATTCCTGGTCTAGGTTGTGTAATTTTGATACTTCTCCTCATGCCACAGGAATATTTTTGTTTTGTTTTGTTTTTGTTTATAATTTTTATTGGGATTTGGATGAAAGTTTACAGAGCAAATTCATTTTCCATACATCAGTTCACAAACACTTTGTCTCATGACATTGACTGCAATTTCCCACAATGCAACAGCTCTCTTCCCACTTCCTTCCCATAGTTACCTCTTCTCTGTGTCCTTCCCTCTCATGCAACTCATGCACTCCTGCCCCCTGAGTTGTCTCCTTGTACGTACACAGCCCTTCGATTCTCCCATGATTGATCTCTCCAAAGAGTGTATCTAGCTAATGTATTTACATATCCAGCTCATATTTGGCTGGAAGTCATGGGAGTGGGTTCAATTTCAGACCTGAAGGGCAGCTAGGGGCCATAGTCTCAAGGGTTCCACCAGGCTCTGTCACACCAGCAAACCTGGTCCTTTTGTTTTTTAATGATTTTGAGTTTTGTTCCACATTATTCTCCCACTTTATCTAGGATCTCCTGCACTAATCCCCCTCCAAGTGGTTAACAGTGGTGGCTGGGCACCATCTAGTTCTTCAGGTCTCATAGTCATATAGGTTAAGGATAGCCAAGTGTAACAGTTGCTTGGACTAATTGTTTACATGCATCTTTGGTTTTCTTCATTCTTCTTTGCTTTGGATGAGGAGAGACCCATCATTGCATCTAGATGCACGCTTGCAAGCTTTTAAGATTCTAGTCACTACTCAACAAAGTAGGATGTGCACAATGTTTTTGTATAGTATGTTATGCCAATTGACCTTGATGTCCCCTCGACCATGGTCCTGATCCCATAGGTCCAACTACTTGCTCTCTCCAGGTAGCTGGCTGTGCCCAAGAAGTGACTACAATCTTGTCCCTTGTCAGCTCTACTATATAACTGGAAATTCTTATAGAACATACAAATACACTTGTAGAAACATTGTCTGCCAATCCTATACATGGTCATGGGCACACTTCCCTACAAGCAGTTTTGAAGATGGGCTCCAAGTGGCTGTCACCTCAGAGATGGAGAAATTGCACAGAAAGAGACCTCATCATCTCAGGAAAATGGACATTCCATGATGGATGCCCATTACTGAATTATGAGGAGAACTAGGGAATGAGAGATGTAACAACACTGACATACTAAAAACACATAATTCCAGAGATTTGGTCAAAGTAACATTTAGAAACAATAGCTAAACAAAAACTCCATCACCTGCCTCCTCCTTTCCCCATAAATTTAACATAAAAAAACAACTTACCTTCGGCCACACATTGTCTGCCATTCCCTGTATAACCAGCAACACAGCTGCAACAAAAACCAGTTGTGTAGTCCCTGCACTCTGCATGTACAGAGCACTGGTGTCTGTTGTTGGCACATGTCTGCCGGGAATCAGTGTTGTAGCTGAAAACTAATTAGAGAAAACAGTACACCTGTAAGTGTCTCAGTCAACTACAGGTATATCACACAGGTACATGGCAGGTCCACAGGAATTCCCACCTATTTTAGGCAAGCTAAGGAACAAGAGACTTACCATATAAGACTACAATCCATTGCATGTAGCTACTTAAATAGTAATGGGACTCCATTACTCAAACAACCCAGGCAAATGGGTCTAAACAGTTCAAGAAATCACAAGGCTGAATTATTAAAAATTGCTATAATTTAATGTATCACTAGATCAGCTTCCATTCCATATCAATCTTAGCATGTTATTCACCTAATATGGCCTGAAAGATCAGGGAAATCTTTAAATATTTTTAAAAAACATTTTTTGTCCTATTTCTTCCCAAGGGATAACTCATGACCTCTTATGTGCAAAAGCTAAAAGGAAACAAGGAAAAAAGAATTTTTCTCTATTTCAAAGTTCTACCTTCCAGGTTCATTTTATTAGAATTATCAATTAGCTCATTAGATTTAATAATCCAGAGCAAATTAGTATGAGATGTAGTTCAAAAGCACAAGATGGGATGGACTTTTAAAGGGAACAAAAATCCAATTTACAATTGACTGATATGAGTGAAAATAAAGTAACATTTAACCCCAGGTAAATTCTAGTAATCTTATATATTCAGAAAGGAATTTCCAGCACATATAAAGATGGCCTACGGAGCTGAGAACACTTGGACCCTGAAATGAACATAGGTGGTGCCACTGATTACATAAGCTTCAGCTGTGTACCTAGCTTTTCAGTGGGTCCATTATGAATATCTGTGGTGACCACTCACATAACACCAGGTATATACTCCAGTCTTTGGAAGACTGACCTTTTGAATAAAAACAGTGAAAAAATGGGAATAGAGAGACAGAAAAACATCTGTTTTAGATACATTTTGTATCAAATAATACACAGTCATAAATTTTGGGGGAAGATATGGTTTTGTTTAAATGTCATTTGTGATTGCTTGTGAAATGAAGATTTCAGAGAGGCCTAGATAGCTTGGAAACAGGATGAGATATGTAGCTCAACTTCTGCAAGTAAAAACACCTAACACATCTCAGGGAACTAATGTTGAAACCTGGCTGTAAGAGGCAGATGGTCACGTGCTAAGAGATGTTGGTGCAGCAAAGAATTCAAGTTGCATGTATATTGGAGGAGTCCTGAGCTGAACTCATCTCCTTATTCTGTCACCCAATGGCAATGTCTCTATTTCTGTGCCTATTTCCTCCCTTCTGAAGTAGCGCACTACTCCTTGCCACCAGATCTTGTCCATACTTTGGACACTCAATAAGAACAAAAATTTGTGATTATTGCCAAGAGATAAATCAGAACAAGTAATGAGAAATAAAAATGAGTGAATAATGTGGATGGACCATGCTTTTCTCAGGGCCTTATGAAAACTTCATAATAGAAGCAATAATGACCGATCCTTGGGTTTCTGAGGTGGCGTCTCTATGAAAGTAGATTACCCAATCTTTCTTCCACGGAGTCGTTGGTGGGTTTGAACTGCCAGCCTTCTGGCTAGCAGTCAAATGCCTTAGGCACTATGCCACCATAGCTCCCAATAAAGAGTCTTAGTCAATATCATTTAAATGCTTAGACAATCCCATTTATATTAATTTTAATGAATTATAAAGTAACCTAAAAAGAAAAAAGATAATGAACACAGTTTAGTTTGAGAAAACATGCTATGGTTCAAACTGTTTGCCTTTAACAAACCCAAACCAAACTCACTGCCATCAAGTCAATTCTGACTTATAGTGACACCCATTGGGTTGCTGAGGCTGTAAATCTTTATAGAACTAGATTGCCTCATTTTCCTCCTGTGGAGCTGATGGGTTTGAACCACTGATTTTCCGATTAGCAGCCAAATATCTTACCCACTACTTCACCAGAGCTCCCTGTTTTCCTTTAAAATGTATCAAAAATCTTATACAATAGACTATCAGACACTGAACTGTAAAAGCAGCTTTAAAAGAGGATCTACCTCATCCAGAGCAAAGAAGAATGAAGAAAACCAAAATTCATGGAAACAATTAGTCCTAGCTACTGGTATACCATCTGATCTGCAGTCTATAAGACTACTGAGACCAGAAGAACTAGATGGTGCCTGGCTACCACGGTCATCCACTTGGAAAGGGATCTATCTAGGAGATCCTTGATAGAGAGGGAGAACAATATGGTACAAAACTCAAAATCATTTGGAGGAAAATAAAAAAGGTGGGGAGATGAGATTTGCTGGTCTGATTGATAGAGCCTGGTGGAACCATTGAGACTACAGCCTCTAACTGCCGTTCAGGTCTGGAATTGAACCCACACTTGTGGTTTCCAGCCAAACAAAAGACAGGCATGAGTTGAACATTTACCTCAAGTAGATACTCTCCTTGGAGAGAACAATCATGGGAGAAAGAAGGGCTGCTTATACACAGGGAGACAGTTCAGGGGGCAGAAGTCCATGGAGGGATGGACACAGGGAAGAGGCAACTATGGGGAGGAAGTGGGAGGGGAGCTGTTGCATTGTGGTAAACTGTGGTCAATGTCATGAGACAAAGTATATGTGAACTGATGTACGGAAACTGAATTTGCTCTGTAAATCTTCACCTAAATCACAACATAAATAAATAAATAAGATATTCTATACTCTTTATCTTTACAAACCAGCTCTGAAAGTGATATGAACTGTGAGGAGAAATAACCAACCATTCTAATTCCAAAGCCAAGAGGAAATAAATGCAAAGATAAGCTACTTAAACAGCCAAAGGAACTTCTAAAATGTTTTTTTCAGGTGGATGAATATATTTCTGGTCTTAGAAGTCACAAAGAAGAAAATCTAACTTTCACAATAATTCTAAAGTACTTTTCTCTTGAAAACAGATAAAATGAAAATGTACTCAAAAGTCTCCAGAGCCACAACCGTAATCCCAAAAGATTATTTGGGTTCTTAGAAATTATCAGGCCTATACACCAATCCTCTACAACTGTGAAAATTCAGCCATTGCTTCCCCAGGTTCTCATCCTTACAAATCACCATATAATGCACACAACTCACAGTCCATTCAACAGTACTCCTATCTGAATACCCAAGTGTCTGAAGATGTACCAAATGCAACTTAAAAGGTCTTACCAACTTCGGTCTCCTGAACTTCATCCACATCTATCACCTGTGGGTGTTTCTGGGGAAACCTCTCCACCGGTAATTGAAAAGATCTAGTCTTCACTGTGGGGAATTCAGGGGTGCTCTCAGTTGCTGTGCGGCGTGAGTAAAGTACACTTGGCACATGATATGTGTCAGTATCTCTCCTTCCCAGAGTCTTGTAGGGGAAGGTTGTGGTGGCCACATCCTCCAGGCCCAGCCTCGTCACCAGGGCATAATCTTCATCCTCTTCTTCATACTCTGCTCCATCATCAAGTCCATGGTTCATGTCAGCATTTACCACACCACTGGCTGTGGCTGGACTCCCAATCTCAAACACCCAGACACCCTGCTGCCCTGAATTGCTGCTCCTAGAGGGAAGGACAAGCCTTTTAGAAATAAGCCAACAACCCACAAAAAGCACCCACCATCCAAACAGGAGCAGCAAATGAGATATGTGTCCATGTGAAACCCATTACCTGCTTCCCCTACATCAGTCACTAGAGAGTGAGCTGAGCAGATACAATCATGTCGGGTCATCAAGGAGCTGAGACCTTCCTGGACTATTCTGTGAGGATGTATCCAAATAGGCACAGCCTTTGCAATGGCTTACCCTCAGTTATTGGAGACTTGCTGTCCAGGCCTTAATATTTTATTTTAATCAATTGGTCCCAATCATTTGTTAAATGTCCTATCATTTAAACAACCTGTTGACTATTCACTTCCCATAGCATGGTTTATTAGAAATACCAACTCTATTAGCTGAAGGATCTTGGACATGTCTATTTACCTTTCTGTGGTCAAAAGGTGTTTTTGTTGTTGTTAGGTGCCATAGAGTTGGCCTGACTCATAGCAACCCCATGAACAACAGAATGAAACACTGTCTACTCATGCTCCATTATGTTTAAGTCCATTGTTATAACTGTCAAACAACATGATAACCTGAATTTCCATCATTTCCACCATTTTTACTATTCTTAAACATCTGTGATTGGAAAATACTCCTATTAGAAATTATATAAAATGATCAGATGGAAATAAATAAAATGGACAGAGAGAACATGCCTTTACTCAGAATGGCTTTTGGGAGAAAATTGAATAAAAAAATTGGGGTGGAATGGAGAATGAAGAATCAAGAAAATCTTGTAGAAATGGGACAACTACTCAACATGCCTTCTTCAGACTCAAGTAAAGGCAATGGTGCGTAGAAGGTTGTTGTACTAACTCATGCCAACCAATTGTTAAATTAGTACTTGTGAGCC